ATGTCATCATAGTTTTCTATTTGGCTATAATTGGCTTAGGATGTTATTTTGAAAAGAAATGATGTTGGCTGAGAGAAAAGCAAAGTGACGTGAAGCATCCTAAACACTGATTATTATGGCCACGAGCTGTAAAACTTGTGTCTGTCTACACCCAATCTCACATTCTATTGGACCTAACAGCAAACATATCTATCTATTATAACAGGTTTCAAATATCCTATTTTTGTTGTACCATTAATGAGTCCTGATTCCTCTTAAAGGTCCGGTACAGACCTCATGGGATCAACAACTGCTTCTGTTTAAAGGCATTTCCAGCAACCAGCTTGGCTATAAAATAGCTGAGTCTCAATTCTCGGACTTCTTTGAATGTGAAGTATGTCAAATGACTCATGACGTTCAAAAAGTCAAGTGTTGTCTGCTAAACTCACAATCAACAACCGCCATCTTGGCTATAGTGGAAGTTGTCGGACCAGCCACGACTTCAGTTGCTCCGGTGAACACCGCAACATTCAGATCAAAGTTATACATCTGTGTATTTCTATATTTGATACTCGTACTTCTACACTAGTGTCGAATTAGAAGCCACCATTAATTGTATTGGGTGAATTGGGCAGTCAATAAATATTATAAACGATAACGTTAGCTATCTAGCTAGCCTCTGTTAGCTGATAGTTAGCTAGCTAGCTTACAGTGGAGATTGTCAATTCTGGTCAGGGCACAGCAGCAGTGTGGGATTTGAGACAACACTACCTCGAGATTCACACACTGTGTTCACACGACATGGCGATGCAAGGACAGCGTTTAAATTGAGACATAGAGCCTCAACTAGTCTGTTGATGCCACATTGTGACTTTTATGGGAGCTCATGTTGAACTGGCATGGTTAATTCCATAGCCGATACATTATGATCCACTAAAGTTAAGCATAAATAAATAATTGTTTTTCTTTCTTTTCTATAATCTTGACTAAGGGAGTCACGATATAGTGATATTAAACCTGTCATTCTTTGATAGGGGAGACACCTGGGGGAGATCTGCACTCTACTGACTGCCCTTTAGTAGATATTACTGCTATTATTACCTGGTTCATAAACTATTTCCATCAAACTTTATCTCTGTTCAACTGAATAGGGAAGAAGGCACTTTACAACAGTATGTTGTCAATTTAAAACAGGGAGCTTTCAGCTTCAGATTTTAACACCTCAAAGTGGAGACCTGCTTCTGATGCAGACGAACTAAAGTGATCCATATGCAGCACTTGTCTGTCAGTGTGACCCTGTGTATTCAAATGTAAATCCTCTTGTTTGTCTGACTTTCCAATGATGTTCAGGGCATTTCAATTCAGTTTTCTGTGGGTATGCTCAACGTCGAGGTTGTGCCTGTCAAGTTGAGTCACAGCAACTAGCAGCAAAACAAACAAGTGTGAGGCGCGCAGTAAACAATTCAGAAACTATCTGAACACCAGCAGGGCTTTTTTCCCACCCCATCCCCACTTTGGCAGCTGCATCTCCGCTGCACCTCGGGGGGATATCAGTGATCCAGGGGCGGATCTAGACAAATATTCATGGGGTGGCAAGAGGGTGGCAGGAGATTTTGAGGGGTGGCATCCCCTGACAGAAGTATATGCTGATTTAAATCGCAATCATATCAATCAATTAGGGGTGTAACGGTACACGTACCCGTACTGAAATTATTCGGTACGGGCCCTTCGGTTCGGTACACGTGTGTACCGAACGAATATAGCGTTAAACGTAAAAAAATTGAGAACATGAACAACTTTCTGGAAGTAATCTCAGGTATATATCATAGAGCGACCAAGTCATTTCATTGGACGAGAGGCATACTATGAGAGCTGGTCACAGGGATGCGTTCAAATGTAGTCAGTAATTTGAGGAACTGTCGAAATGGCGAACGCAGATAAAGTTGAGCTCGAAAATCCTCCAGCATCATTGAAGTCTCCGGTTTGGGAACATTTTGGTTTCACAGTTACGTACAAGGATGACGGACAAAGACAGGTGGACCGAACCAAAGCTGTTTGTCGGTATTGTTCAACTAACATTGGTTACGCGGCTGGCAATACATCAAACTTGCACACTCATTTGAAAAGGCATCACCCGAATGTGAATATCACCGGTACCAAAAGAAAAAAGACTGAAGTGCAAACCCAATTCCCACTAGCATGTAAGCCTCCACCACTCGCAAAGAGTTCAGACCGAGCCAAAGCTATTACAAACGCCAAATATCCTTATGTTGCCATGTTAGCAAAGCGCTACCTGGCTGTGCTACCTCTGTCCCTAGAGAGGGTGTTCTCCACAGCAGGAGACATTGTTAGTGCCAGCAGATCTGCCATTTCAGCAAGCAATGTGGACAAGTTAATCTTTCTTTAAACAACATGAAAATACAATGACAAGCAAGTCCTAATGTCAAGCTGGCTGCTTAGGTACTAGTACAGTTCAAATACAGATTATTTCAGTTCATCGAAATGCTGCACCTTAATGTTTATTTTACTATATTTTGTATTTATTTGAATACATTAGTCAGTTTAATAATAATAAAAAAAATGTTTTTAATGTTTTGTGATAATTTTTTCTGCTGTACCGAAAACGTACCGAACCGAACCGTGACCTAAAAACGAGGTACGTAACGAACCGAAATGTTTGTGAACCGTTACACCCCTACAATCAATGTTAACTTGGAAAGCCACAATATTAATATTTTAACTCAATCACATAGGTGACATTATTGTGGCACATCAGTAAAGCCTTACATATAAGGTGGCAGATGTAATTTAATGAATTTTAACTGAACAATAACTGAATGAGTTTGTCTCACTCTTAGACCAGCAGGGGAACCAAATCTATGCAGACTGCTGCAATAAGTACATTAATTAACTGTCTCATCGATGTTTGTCTGAATGAATATGATACTATTAACAATCATATTATTCCTATCAGCTGTCAATCACTGTTAATAAATAGTAATAATAATAGATTTAATTTGTTAGCGCTTTACAGGTGCTCAAAGACGCTTTTACAGATATAGTGAAGAACTGTTATGATTCACATATTCATTTATTATTGAATAAACTATATTTTTTGGAGGAGTTAATGATGAATGTTCATCAAGATGCTTGCTCACCCTCCTTCAAATTTGAAAAACAAGTAATTATATCATTATTGATATACAGTTACAACCTTGACTTTACATCAGAAAGAACAAACATTAAAGAAGTGACTAACTGCATCAGTTAGGGTTAAACGTGTATTCAGCTAAAACATCATTGCAGTTATTATCCAGTGGAAGGTCCTTACCTACTGGCCTAGTTAAATCAAAGTGGTTACTTTCTGTTGGCTGGGCAGTGTAGTTTTACACACCGTCTTATTTTACTTTCTCAGGACTTAAAATTGTTTTTTTGGGGGCAGACCCCTCAAAGAAAAAAATATATACACGCATACAAGGTCATCATCTTAATAGTTTGTTATTCTCATCGAGTCATCCGTGAGCAGAGCATCAAGTTGGCATGTCTATTACAGCTGAATACGGCGATTACTATTTTGTTCAGCAAAACGCCTCACAAACGTATTAAGATCAACAGCTGTAGTGCGTTTTGATTCAATGTTGAGTACAGCCAAACTGACAGTCTCTTCTTCATTGTAGACCGCAACTACCTCATTCCTTCAGTGCTTGGGTCCGAAAGGCTTCTCGTTTTGCGCCGTCCCCCCGTTCAAGTGAATTCGCCACCAATCATATTTCCACTCTCGCGCCAGGACCGGGGGAGGGGTTACATGACGTGCATCTTGTGCTGCATTCACTTGCACTCGGACATTAGAGACTTTCTCTCATAAATGTCCGATGAGCCACAACTTTTCTTTCAAAACAAAGATGCCAACTGGGGTGGCAGCTGGGGTGGCAAGGCTATTGTTTAGGGTGGCAGTTGCCACCCCATGCCACCCCGGTAGATCCGCCCCTGCAGTGATCCTAGCCCGGGGCAAGATGCTGTTTCAAGGCAGACAGCTCATCAAGGTGAGTGACAAGCATTGGGGCGGGAACCAACAATTGTCTTTTTCTGCCTCGAGGGGAGAAAGTTGCACACTGTGGCTCCAACAATAAATCTTTGCACTTGGCTATTTACCCCCCCCCCCCCCCCAAGTCTCAAAGGGTGATGATGTAAGAACTGGCAGGTTATAATCAGGAAGGAGCTTTGAAGTAGTCACAGCTGTTCATCGACATCAGGCAGACATGACTCAGCAAAATAGCTGCTGGGAGGGAGGTCGGGGCTTTTATTTTTGCTGCAATAAAACACTAGGACTGCACTACAGTGTACAGGGGGGGCTATTTTTCAGAAATAAATTAAATGAATGGGTTTATGACATGAACGAAGTTTGAAGAGACATTTACATAATTCTTCACTGTAACTGCTGTTTGCATATTTCCATTTTCTCCAGAATTACTTTTGAGATGGAATCCAAGCAAGCAGTGAAATACTGTAGTAATACAGTACGATACTATCTTATAAATCATTAATGAGTGTGCGCCATTATACTAAAAAGCGACACCCCTGCTCTTTTATGTCTTCCATCCAACTCTGTTGCCAGTAGTAACAAGAGCTAACTATTCAACTGTTTTTGTACGTTTTCTGAAATGTCATGTTTAAATATGAACATGGCCTTATGTAATGTTAACTACATACCAAGTTAGTTAAATAAACACATAGGTATGTCACATGGATGCTTTTTTACACTAGTCATGGAAAAAAGCCAACAGGGAAGCAAAATGGCCTAAAATTCTAAATTGGCCAGTGCTTGCTTGTAAGACAAGGTTTTTGCCTTAGTGTCTCACCTTGACTAGAAGAGGAAAAAGACAGAGCATAGCAGCCACGTTAAAGTTAACCTGCACTGGATCCTGATCTCGTTTAGAATATTGAAGATCTTTTACAAGTAAATAGCTCTATGACCAATCATTTCCTAAGTCCTCTGTTAACAGTTTTTTTTAATGCAATTTATCTCCTAAATATGTTTAACTATGTTTTATTGTACTGTTATTTGCTGCCTAAAAACAGTTCCTGTATTTTTCATGAAATATTTTCCGGTATTTATTGTAATTTTCTTTCATCACTTATTTGCCATATGTTAAGGTCATCAAACTACACTAACTTCAGGATTTGTATTCTATATTCAAATATACATCATACTGAGCAGTGTGGGGAATATAGAAAACAATAGGAAAGTGTAGTGTGTGTGTGTGTAGTAGGTGAATGAATGAATGATGCCTCTCGACTGCTTTTATTTGTTTTATGAATGCATTAAGTTTAGTAAGAGATTTCTAATCTAGTTATTGCAGTAAAAGCGTTATGCTTTGGCAGCCATGCATCTCATCAGATAGCTTGAAGTAAGAAACATGAATATGTTAGTCTATCTGATCTGAAAACATCCACAAATCTTTAGTTTGTGCATTACATGGATACACCCACTCACCTTCATATCAGTAGAAACAGAACACATATTCACACAGACAAAGCTTTGTGTTTCAAAATCAATAAATAGTTAATAGATTTAAAAAGAAACAGAAAAAAACATGATTTCACAAGAATATTTGAAAGGTTCTGAAGAGAAACAGTCCCATATTAAAAACCTTTACTTCACAGCAGACATTTTGACTTGTGCTACTACCAAACATTAGACCTATGTCCTCAAACTGCCATAAAGTGTATTTTAATATTATTTCCTTTTACCCAAATTCAGTTTTGATGATCACTGTCAAACATTTATTAATTTCCAGACGGTATCCCCCTCAAAAGCCAAGTTCGGCCTGTTGTATGTTATTAAAAAATGTAGGGGGATTTCTTTGTCTTCGATATGTTGCTATGACTTTGATGCACTTTTGTGAAAACCACAAAAGTAGTATCCATTTACCCCATTATGAGTTATAATCTGGTGAAATAAAGAGTGCATGATTGTATGCTGTATTGGCCGTTTTATCAAGTCCGTATGTCCTCTGTTCAAAATACATATTGAGTTCAGGTGATTTTCAGCATTCTCTGCCACATTCATTAGACCTGTGTGGATGCAGGTGCTAGCTAACAAGCTGAGCTGCATTATCACACACACATCACCCCGTGTTCACTACCCCCCCAACACATGGTGCTCTCCATGTAACAACACAATTTAGTCACAACATCGAACCTTCTAGTTGTCCGTACAGCAGTCCCTGAGGTAATATAACGTAAGTATATGTAAAAAAAAAGGTTCCCTCTTTCAAATATCTTGACGTAATTTCACTTTTATTCTTCATCCAACTTGGAAAATATTTAAACAAACGGCTCAAAAATACATTTTAAGTGCATTCCAAAGTATTTCTTGCGAACCAAAGGAAGGACCCTTTGTGAGCATCAGTAGTGTATCAGTCTGAAAGTCTTACATGTAGAATAGAGACTATTACTCAACATTTTGACTCCCTGTAATGGAAGGACTGCGTGTTTGGCCCCCTAAGACTTACTGGCAGTGTGGCTCTGCTCCATGGTGTTGAAGAAGAGGCAGACCCCCGCAGTCAGCAGCAGGTGCATGGCCTCGTACAGTAATTTGGGTGAAAAGACACTCCATATGAAGAGATGGTAGCGCAGAGTGGTCACCAGCACGATGTAGGCTGCAGCGGGCACAGACCTCAGCAGGGCCAGACAGTAGCAGCCATGGCCGACTGCAACCGGGCTCCTGCAAGGGGAGAGGACTCATCAGAGAGGAGGCAAAGCAGGACACTCGGTGAATAACTTCCTCAAAACTTTACGGGAACCAAGGTCACTCTATCTGCTTTAACGTTTTTTCTTATGATCGGTAAAGCTGCAGATTGTTTGACGATTCACAGCACATTTCCCCCTTAACGCAAGTACCAGGGAGAAGAGTTCAATCCAATTATCATCTTCTCAATAATAAAGGATTGCTGGCAAATTCAGATAGAGAAGTTAATGACTTAAAACCTGCATGATGGATGGGGGGTGGGAGAGAGGAGATTAGGAGATGATGATGTAAAACCAAACACGCGGAGATACAAAGACTGAAACACAGCGTTTAGCTAAGCACGGGGAGGTTGTGAGTTGAAACAGGCAGCAGTCCCATCTGAGGGGGAGGAGCGGACAGAGACAAGAGGAGTAGGAGACATTGGAAGGAGTCCAGGTTGGAGGTGGAAATTCAATCACAGGGCCAGCTATATCACACACACACACACACACACACACACACACACACACACACACACACACACACACACACATCACACACACACACACACACACACACACACACAGCACACACACACACACACACACACACACACACACACACACACACACACACACACACACACACACACACACACACACACACACACACACCCACACACACACACACACACACACACACACCACACACACACACACACACACACCAGCAACACACACACACACACACACACACACACACACACACACACACACACATCACACACACACACACACACACACACACACACACACACACACACACACACACACACACCACACATCAGCCCACCATAATTAGTCTGAATTGCAATCATTCAATTCTGTGTCAGACAGTAAAAACAGATCCAGTCTTAGGGAGGGGTGAAATGAGTCGATATTAATCGAATAAACAATATTACTAACCCATAAACACTACATCTGTTGTGCCAACAGTCTCTTCTTCAAGCGCCCCTATTGTGCTTTTAGGGTATTTCCCTTTCCTGTAGTTTGTTAGATAGGTTTTTGTGCATGTAAATGGTCTGCAAAGGCTAAAATCCCAAAGTTTCTCTCCCACACTCTCTCTCTCACCCCCCCCCCCCCCCGACTGAAACGCCTCCATTGGACTCCTTTGTTCTCTTTCATAACATAGTGACATCACTATGTAACACTCGCACGTCTATTATTCTCTCAGTGGAGAAAGTGGTGACAATTCTCTAATTTCACAAGTTTGGAAAGGAATGAGTTGATAAAGACTCTTTAGCTTGAAGACATCTTTAGAAATCATTTCACAAAATGATCAAACTGTAGAAAGGTCTGTAGAGAACTGAATTGTTCTGCCGTCAGACATGGGCAAAAGAACACAGTGTTAGAAGAGCAAATTGAAGGATAAATGGTCCCTGGAAATCCTCCACGAAAAACACTGAAATAAGATTTTGATGAAAGGCTACGGTGTACATTTTATTTCAGGAATGCATTTCCATTTTGAGCTCACAAAGAAGCAGGAAGCCTTGAAAATCACTGTGTGTCTCCAAGGTAATCTCAAAGAGTGTCTTGGAAATCAAGGCTAAAATAGAAACTACATTTGTCGTTTGTGTTTACGTCAGAATATCGGACACTTTTACTGATGGTAATTAGGTAAAGTGGTGTTTACGGGTCTCCTCTGATCGGTCAGTTTTGAAGGTTTACAGTGCACTAAAACAATGAAGAAACATTCTCTTTGCCTTAAGTAGAGTTTGAGTGTGTGGAGGGAGCCCGTCGGAAAGCTATCGATCAAAGTCCACTCCCAGCACTCGCCTTGTGGTCGAGCTGCTGATGGCGCACAGTGAATTCTTAATGAGCTCCTGAGCACCAGACGCTCTTACAGTTTCATTTGTCACCACGTCTGTGGAACCGAGCGTCATCATTATTTGTTATTTAATCTTTAGATACTCAACTAGGAACATTTTCCTTGTTGTTGTACGTCAAGAAATACATTTTTAAGATCTACAGTTATGGATTACACTGCATATGTTGCTGAAACTGTTTCCAGGTCAGCTATATAACAATTTTCTTCAATAGTGAAAGAATTTGTGCATATCTATATTCCTATCAGAGGTGGGAAGTAACTAAGTAGATTAACTCAAGTACTGTACTTAAGCACCATTTTGAGATACTTGTACTTTACTTGAGTTTCTCCATGTTATGCTACTTTGTTCTTCTACCCCACTACAATTCAGAGGTAAATTGTGAACTTTTCCTCCACTAAATGTATCTAATACCTTTAGTTACTTCACAGATCAGGATGAATGATGTGAAATCTAATCAAGTGTTGAATCAGACTTTAGTTCTACCTGGAGTAAATCCACCAGCTACCCTGCAGTATACAAAGTCATTCAAACTAGCTGCACCTTCACCAGCTTTGAGAAGACTTTCATGATCAATCATTATAAAACATATCATATATATTATTCTGAAATGGACCAAACTGCAGCATGACTACTTTTATTTTTGTTACTTTAAGTACATTTTGATGCTAATACTTTTGTACTTTTACTCGAGTCACATTTTGAGTGCATGACATTTACTTGTAATAGAGTATTCCTACACTTTGTACAAGATCTGAGTACTTCTCCCTCTTCTGATTCCTATGCATGTGTGTATTTGGGACTGTGTTTTTTCAACAGAGTGATACACTGAATCAATTAGATCAATGCAGAAGCATTACATGAAAGAACACCAAATAAGCCAAACTAATTGTAATGTTTTTACGAGGATTGCTTATTTTTCTTCATTGTAAATTGAATAGATTAAGTTTGTGGACTTTGATCAGACAAATCATTTGAAGATGTCACTTTGAACAAATAGACCATTGTTTTTTCCGACGTAACATTTGTCCTCCCTCCTATCTGAACTCTTTGGTGTTGTTGTTTACTGTGAAGTGATTTCTTTGCTACTGTATATGAGGTGCTGTCATGCTTCTGAGGAGGTTATAGTAGAAAATAAAGGCCATACCTTTCTGGAGCTCCCTGAGGGGTAGCTTTAATCTCAGCTGTGCTTTTCATTTGTAACATCTCTACTGTGGGTCTACAGGAGAGATGATGGAGGTCTTGGGAGCATGGCAACTGATTTTCTTTTTGACAATGTTTTGTCATGGATCAAACTGTTGGTCACCGGAAATGTTCTAACTCATTGTAGTACTAAATGAAAGGTCGAGATACATTCTGTGAGGCCCTTTAGTCCACATCAACTCTAACGTCGAAGAGCTGGATGGACGAATCAAATCAAAGCTAAAATCTCTAGGCTCTGCTGCGAGCGCCACAAAAACGCTCAGATGGGTAGAACTTTTTAATCAGGCACTGGAAGAGCTACTGAAATGTTAAACACATCATATTAAAATGTGGCATCAAAGATTATTAAGAATACAGATCATGCATGGGTATACAGCCTCTGCAGTCTCATTTCTGGAGACCTTTCTTGGAACAAAATTAAGAAATGTTTTACATAAAAGTAGTGACTTTTTAATCACCAGTTTCTATAATTTACCCAACAGAGGAAGTTAAACTCTTTTTACATTAAATTCAGCATTTAACTGTTGGCTTCACCAGCAGGGCAGCTGTTGCCCGGACACAGATCTCATCACTCAGCTGTGTGCCGCGGCGTCATGCTGAGGGCGAGCTGTAGTTGTTGGATGTTTCTCACACGTACAGACCCCCAGATACTGGCCTCTCTCCAGTTAAGGTCTTATGCAGGTTAAGCTGTTTACACGCATCTTTGATACCCTGTGAGCAAGATTCCTTTAACAGGGTATCTCAACGCACCAGCACCGCCCCACAGAGAGGGTTCGCTTCAAAAATAGCTTTGAAAATAGAAACAACCAACACTTAGAAATAACTGGAACAGTGATGTTGTGTTGGTGCAGATGGTGGAAACCAAAGTAAAAAGAGTGGAGAGTGGTGAGCAGTGGTTCATAAGATGCCCCGCCCCTTAGCCTATCACGTACAATGTGGTGGAGTGCTAGCCAATAAAAACACGTGTTACATGGTGATGTCATTATGAAACATAAGTAAACAAAGGAGTCCAATGGAGGCGTTTCAGGCATTGGGAGGAACGGGTGGGAGAGAACTTTGGGATTTTAGCCTTTGCAGACCATTTACATGCACCCCAAAAAGCATAATAGAGCCCCTTTAAAAACGATAGTATTTATGACAATTGTTAATTGTTACAATAATGTTTTCACAAATCTGAATGAGCGATTGGCAGTAGTTGAAAGTTTCAATCATTTCTAACTTATAGCTAACTATTTAAACGTAATCCTACAGCTGACTGGTTGATGGGCAGCTGACTGGTTGATGGGCAGCTGACTGGTTGATGGGCAGCTGACTGGTTGATGGGCAGCTAACTGGTTGATGGGCAGCTGACTGGTTGATGGGCAGCTAACTGGTTATTGTAAATTGCTAATATAAGCAGAATTACAATTTAGGCTGTTATTTGGCTGCCAGCCTCCTTCTCACGGGGACGTAGCTAAGCAGTAAAGCCATCCCTCGTGGCCCTAACCACAATTTCTTACACAAGTATACACAAAGGTTACGTAAAAAGGTTTTCCCTTCATTTCATCAAGAACCAAGTTCAACAAAGAACATAAAACACAAAGAAGCAACAATCCTGGAGGTAAATAAGCTTTCGATAGTTAAACTATTGTAAGTGCTACTGGATTGGCTTCATTAAGCAATCATTTTTTAAGTTCTACGAACAAAGGTGAGATTTTCTTTTTGGGCCAAGATGCAGTATAGGAACAGGTTGGCATCTAAGTCTGCGACGGAAAATGTGTAGACTGCTTTTCTGTCTGGATATCAATGGGGAATCAATGGGGAGCTCGGTTTCACCATTTGTGAGCCAGGATAGCCAACATTCATGATTTAGTTGAAAGGTCCCCGGCACCCCCCCCCCAGAAAAAGACAGAGCTTTTTCATTGACTCAAACATATTACTAATATTCAGTGGTGTCTATTATTAATACTTTCGACAACACTGATTATTTGTGTAAAAACTGGGCAACAATTTAGCACACCTTAACCATTCATTATAACGGTTTCATAGTGATTATAATCAAATCAATATAAATAAAAGTTATTTTTGTGTCGAGTTAATGAGTAAGTCATAACTGAGCCTCACCTGTCTCTCTGTGAGCTGAGGAAGCAGACCAGGTGGCACGCCCAGAGCAGGGGCCCCGCATAAGTGCTGAGGGCCGTTAAGAAGATGGCCGGTGCTTCTACGTAACTTTCCAGTCCAACGAAGCCCACTGAAATGTCCACGGTGGCGATGTTGTTCGAATTGCCCTGCAGGAGAAAAGAGAGGTCTAATTTTAGCATCTGTATATGGAGAGACAAAGGAGCACACAAAGATCTGTGGGTGAAGCTTTGTAAGAAGCAGCCCTTTGTCATCATTATGCTCAGCGGCTGGCCTCTTCCCAGCGGCCCAGTTTGTGTTTCCAGTCTCTCTGGAGCCGGCTCAGGTTACTGTGGAGGTGGGCACACACGCTTTGGTTTTTAAAGACCCAACATTTCTGGCGTATTTAACTTTCTCAACAATTTCCAGTATCCCTTGAACTACCAAATATGCCTGAAGTAAACTTTGCTAACCTTGTGTTATTTATTACAGTTCAGGAGTGTTACGTACTCCCCCCCTTTTGTTGTCCTCTTTGTTCTCTCTGCTGTGCAGGTACACCTGGCTCCGCCTTCCCCAGGTGTTCCCAGTTGCCAATCAGCCGAGCATAAAAGAGGAGACTGAAGGAGAAGGAGGGGGCCGATCACTACTCCGGATGTCTCTGCTGTGTCAGAGCTCTTTTGCCTTTTTGTTGTGTTTCCTGGAGGACGTGTTAGTATTAGGTTTTCGCGGCTTTATTTCTCCCGTTAGGTTCTGTTGGATTTTGGGTAGCGGAGGAAGGCTCTGGATCCTACGGCCCGTGGTGTGGTTGGCCCAAGTCCCCTCCGTCTGTTTGTTTGTTTTACCTGTCCTCCAGTGGAATGATTTAGTATTGTGGCAATAAATGTATGATCACAGTTTAGTGCCTACGTGTTGTGTACTTTTGTTTTATGTTGCGGACTGCCTCACGAGCCACTACTATTGAGTAGGGAGGCGGGTCGTAACAAGGAGTTTCATCTGAAGCTTTAGAAATTGCCGCAGGATTTATAGCCACAATATAAAGGGTATTTGGTTGTGCTAATGTTAGTTATATTTAGATCAGGAAAATATGCCTTTGCTCAAATGTAATAACATTTAGAAGATAAGGAAACATTTCATAACCTTGAATAATTAAGAATTGTTATTATGAGCTTGTTTTATCTGAGGCTCAACCAGCATCTAAGAGATTCATTTTAATCAAATATATAAAGTGGTAGTGGTCAGAATTTGGCTGCAGATCATAAAGTTAGCATTTTTTTTCTTCAATTTCACAGGACACTCTTTTAATCCAGTAAAAAATAACGACTGAACCTAGTTATCCCTGGAAAATATTTTCAGCCTTTTATCAATGGACAGACAGGCAAAGTATTTCATTTTTACATTTGATCTGACTTTAGGTTGGAGCATTTAGGTTGCTTTACATTTTTCATTGATTAGGTCCATTGGTTCTCCGCTATTATGTATCCCTAGCCTTGATAATGCTTATTTTACTGTTTACATTATACAGATTTCATGTATATGTATTCACTGAATAGGCAACTGTGTGAACTATGTTGAATGCACAGCCTTGATCTGATTTATAAACACTAATAAGGGTGCATATCTTTCATGTATCTTGACATTGAAAAAGCTTTAGGACAAGTTGATTTTTTTCTCCATATTATGTATATCCATACATTTTCCTTCAATTTTGACTTGTTAATGAATGTTTGGTAACAGTGTAGGGTTCATGGTGCATCAGTGTGTTGGCCATTAAATGCACTTTTTGTACCTTTGTGCCACTGAGCAACTTTAAAGGAATGAACGATGACCCGCCTCCAACGCCGTGGGCGCATTCTCATGATCCAACATGTGACTTGAAACATGTTGAATCCCATGTTTTCTGACTTAAACAGTCAAACAAAGAATGACTAAGTTGTCTTATTTTAACGTTTGTGGGTCGGTATAGGAACTCAAGGTACCTCAAATATATTCACACAAGCACTAAAACAGAGAGTTTTTCATATTATGTACCCCTTCAAAATGTGCTGGTATTACTATATTCAGTGTATTTTCCTTATCTTTGAATGCTATTTTCTGGTAATACATACTGTCCTTACTGTTAGGGAAATAATTGTCCTAGACTCCTAGATATGACGTACAGGACCAACCCTGACGTCTGTTTATCTCCTTTAAGGACATAGGCTGCTTCAGCCATAATGTTATTGTTCCCATTCTGTGACCGGTCAACACTAGGTCACAGATGGTCTGTTGTTGTGGGTGCACTGGGACACTTCCTTCTTTGTTGTTTGTGGACTCCAAGGTATGACATCTTCGAGGCCATAAGTGACGGACGCAAGTGACTCAGTGTGCCCAACTGTTTAAACTATCTTATCAAAATATGTTGATTACTCTCTGTGAAACCAGTTAAATGGGCTAACGAGAGAGAGGCGCTCCAGAATTGACGTGGCAACCCACCCGTGCAGTCTCACCGTGACTGCTGTGACTTGTGATGTGAACTCTCCGGCCGTAACTCCAAATAAATCATCAGTGTTTGACATCAAAGCTCCTGCTCTACCGTGTCTCCTTCCTGAGTCGGTGACTCCCACTGCATTGCTACACAGAAGTTTCCCTTACACTTACAAAGTGGTCCCTAATCAATCTCTGAAAGTCCTCTGATTGGATGATTGAGGCCTGTTGAGATGCTTCTTTGATATAAGATGAAAGTCGTTAAGTAGAGAAATATTTTCAGTATTAAGGGAGAGCGTGTGTGAATTCAGGTTATTGAAATCAAACACGTTCTGTTCAGACAGATCTGTCAACCTGAGCCGCAGAGCAGCAGCTGTGAAAACACTGTCATGGCTGAGAACATTGAAATTGGTTCATTTACAGTATTTCATTTTGACAGTGTTTTATACTTAGCAAATTCAATTTGCGATTTTACATCTAAAATCCACTCCGTGCAGGCATATTTACAGGAAGAAAAAACTGGGAATCAGTGGAGATCAAGGACGTCTTTCTTGTTCATTTGGAAAGCAGTGATGATCCATGAGCAGCAACACTTCAAATAGTTCTTTATTTTCCTTCTGTGCACAACACTTTGATCACACAGGAAGATATCTTAACAGCTGGCTTCATTTTCTACAAACGGTGAATATCAGAGAGCAGGTTGGGCTGCATATGGACATTTTCTACCAGCTTTCTTGCTAAAATCCTGCTGTGATCGTTAATATATATATACAAATATGACACTTGTGGAAAAGCAGTACTGCCTGAAAAGTTGTATTATTGAGATTCAGACTGAAGTGATTATTTAAAAGTCATTCATTAACCTTAAAAATGTCTTGCCAGAAATGTCCTCAGTGATTTGAATTTGGAACCTGGAAGTTCAGCTTTGATTTGGAGCTTTAAAGACATCTTTGTGATGATTCATATTTGATACAGACGGTTGCTCAGTTGTTTCTGATTTCATAACCACGATGCGACTTGTGCTTACTCATGTGGCAACACAAAGTCATTGGTGAAGGATAAACACCTCCTTTCTGTTTTACTGACCATCTGGTTTTGGGACGGGGACGTATTCACAGACAAGCCACAGCCAGATCTGACACATCCATCACTTGATTTGATCACGACAGCTCAATGCAGACGGGCAAAACTTCTACGGTGAGACCGTTCAACTTTTTTTGGTGTCTGCATCTGAGGTTACTTGGAATATTTCCCAAAATCCTGTTTTTGGCTGCCAGACAAGGCTCTCTGCCAATATTTAATAAAACACAGCAGCAGAAGCAACTAAAGCCGTTTTCAGACAAGGGAACCTTTTCCGAGTTCTAAAAATAGTTAATAGTCGAAAAACAGGAGTCAAAAGAGTGGTGCAGTGATGACTTATTTACGAAGGGGCCGACCTGGAAGTTGGCATCGCCAGGGTTCCCTCAACGACAAGTAATGGGATTCTTCCATTGGAGTTTGGATTATTGCAGAAAATAAGATCTGTTGAAAACACATGTTTATGATACCTACGTGTTTTCTTCAGCTTGATTATTTTTCTCATGTTAACACCAATTGTATGCTTTTTGAAGCTTGAATGCATCCGCTAACATTAGGCTATAAACAAACTACATGGCGGTCGCATGACTTTACATCAACAATTCTTCAATAAAAGGTAGATAATGTTGGGTTGGGCATGATGGGGTTTATCAGCGTCATTTAGACACTTCTTAGGCATGGCCGTTGAAAACACAGAGAAGCTCCTGACATTCACCAGTGGGGTATTTACTGACTTTTTGGGTCACAGATTTTTATTTTTGTTAACCACAGACCATATTTCAGGCATCTAGCTTAAAACACATTAAAAACTGTTGATTTCGAGACAAGAAGTGGTGAAATGCTAACTCAAATTTGGATTTTAGGATTTATTCATGCACCACTCTTTGCAGCAATAAAAACCACCTTTTATAAAAAAAAAGATATTAGCATTGTTAACAAAAGAAAACACAAACAAGTACAAACGTACAAACGTAAAAAAGGATCAACAGCGATGTTTGAAAAGTTCAGTTTTCATGAGCTAACAACCAGTGAGCTTTAGAACGAGCGAGAGGTGCTGCTCAGCTAGCTAAACCAGTTAGCGGAAATCCCACCAACAGCTGATTCAAACTGAAATAAACCAAAGCTTACTGATAATGACTGAGCTTGTTTTGGTCTGAATGATTGTAGCAGAGTTGTTTATTCTTTGCAGTTTTAGTAAAAAAGCTAAAAGAGCTAGCTGGAACGTAGCAAACCCCTCAGCTTACCCCACTTTACAGTCCCCCCCCCATTGAGTGGTTCCTCCCTTGACACCTTATGTTTGACTCTTCTAATTTCCTACTGCGCTGATAAATTAGGAACAGGAGCTCAGTGATCAGTTCTAATTGCTGTGTTATTATTCAACATAATTTGATTGTTCTACATGACACCAGTTTTTCTTTGGGAGCTGCACATTTTAATCACATGTGGCAGCTTTACAGATCCATTATGGTTACAGGCAGCTCCGGTATTACTCAAAGGTCTGTAATTACATGCCTGGGCGCCGGGCTGAAAATTGTCTGGTGGCATTCTACTCCCGAGCCCATCACAGTATTAATTACCCAAGAGGTGATGAGTGTTATTAAAATGTTAGCAATTTGGAAGTTCATTGTTGACAGAAATACAGATCTGATAACCAAATATTGGTGAAGTTCAAAAGACAGGTACCATATCTGCCTTTAAGGAACTCATTGCTCATGTTACGTTTTTACAGGAAACAATTAGTCCAGCTGGCTGTCATCCCAGTGCTGCATGAAAGTAATATCATTTACACAGAAGCACTTTCACTGCCCCGAACTGCACCTAATGCTGTTTCCAACACTTTATCAGTGGCGATAGCTTCTCTAAATGTTGCTACACTCTGTGTCAGAGAGCTAAATTAGATGTCTCTTACAATCAGACTAAAAAAAACCTACTTACTGATTTGTTGTCCCCTGAACTCTCTTTTGTAAATATAGGTCATTTGGGCCTTCTGCACTTATGGAGTCAGCACCAATAGGTATCACACTTTGTGAAGTGGTTGTAGCTTGTACACTGTTAATGGTTGGGTGATTGATTTTTAAGGGGAACACTAGTTTTAAGATTTACTGCAGCGAACATTTGACTGGTCTGGACTTTAATCAAATTTGAGAGGAGGTGGTAAGGGTTTGGAATTTACCACCTAACATTTAGAAGAAAATAAATCATTACAGTTACTTTGATTGAAACAAAATAATCAGTTTTAAAGTTAAAAAGTCAAACATTTGGGGATTACAGACGTTGGCCATGCCAATGGTGCGATCACATGCTTCTCCAATGGTCCCATTTCCTGAGTTGAAAAGTAATTGTTCTGACTTCAGGGTGTTCATAACCTTTAAATTATGATGTGGAAACAATTCTATAAAACATATAAGCTGTAATTTATTGCTCTGATTGTTTAAACAAAACGTTGCTGGCTATTTCCACTTAAATGTTTAGTTTGAGGAGGATTATGCGCTCATTTTGCTAAATATTGCAACATCACATACATGCAGAACAAATGCACCATCTCTCAATGCTAACTAAACTAAAATATGATATATTAAATTAAATATAATTTTTTGCGCACATGCTAAACCCCTCCACTGTAGATAGGTCAGTAGTATTTGTTTTGTAATCCAGCTGATTAACAAACAAACGGACAAACCAAGCCAAAAACATTGCCTCCATGATAAAGGTAATGAGAGCAAAGATATACCAAAACAAGCGATAAACTAAAGTGGGAAGTGGGTAATGTGTGTGTGTGTGTTGGCGGGGGTAATTTCTCACCCACTATTAGAAAGTATACAGTATACTGTAAATAAGTAATTTGTGGAGAAATACTGCTTTTGAAAAAAAAAAGAGAGAGATTTTGATGCTGTTATCCCGATTTATATACATGGAGTTTATTTGACTTGATAAACCGCCCGCAAACAGCTAAGCTCTGCTATCACTGACATCATTATGGTTGCTCACCTGAAAGTAAAAGAAGGCCTGTCCGAACCAGTAGTGCATGATGGTAGTTTGTGCCGCGTCGTAGTGGAGTTTCTTCCAGATGAACTGGGCCATGAGCGTCTGGATCAACAGGCAGCAGCAGAGGACCGGCAGGTTGTGAGCACGAAACAACAGCGTCACCAACAAGACCAAGCCACTGTAAATCTCCCATAATCCCCTGCTCTTCAACCTGGCATCTGATGTGATGATCTGGGACCGCAGCAGGTCTTTGGTGCCCGTGAAGAGGATGCCCAAGATGAAGACGTACACAAAGCGCGCCTCCATTGTTCCCCTAAAAGAGAAGGATCACACACGGTGTCACTTTTTGCATTTAAGCCGCTATTGATTTTTTTCTCTACAAAACTCCAAGTTCAATATTCAAGTAATTATGCTAAGTGCCTCTCGGAGAGGGGCTCTGGCAGCCTTGCTGTACCTGCCCATGCATTTAGCAATTAAAAGCAGACAGATTTAGTTTTTTGGACATGAGGAAAATAATTGAATTCAGACTTTATATACGGGAGGACAACAGGAAGAGATGCTTCTTATCAAATACAAGGTGAAAACTAAAAAGATGAAAAACAAGAGAACAAAATGAAGCTAATCAACACAAACAAAACAGCAATCTTAATACATCAAATGCACTAAAGCATAAAGCCTTCAAAAGCGTTGAAAACAAGACAGCAGGTCTGCATAAATTGTCTCCGATGCTGATATTGAAGAAAACGTTGATTAATGAGCAAATATGACGGCATCAGTTATAATGCTGTAAAAGCTCAAAACAATACTTTTCATTTCTTATCTTTAATGATTAGAGACTGTTTTGGACAATACACACCCAATTTCTCTATAGTCTAACAAACACTATCTCTGGTTCCTGCATATTCAGACTCTTTGTTATTATAGCATTTTAATTAATTTCATATCCTTGTCTCTTGCTGAACAAGTTATATTTCTGTAACTCATAACCCATCTTTCATTCAGTATGCAGCGTGTCGATGTAACATTCATAATTAAAGGTATGAGACTGGAAGACAGAGTGAATGGCCCGAGGAAAACAGACTCTCCCACACATCACTCTGTCTGTTGTACGTTTGCCATCGTTATGCTATTATGCTATTGCTGTTCGTGCTATTCATATATTTCTAGTGCATTTAAGGTCATATTGCTTTTTTACAACTGTTCCTGAGAGCAAAGTTCTCTTTCTTTGTATCACAAGTTGTAAATAGAAAGGACAACAGCCAAGACTACTCCGTAATGCCACAACATGTTTAAACCAGCTGATTTGTAATGCTTAACACTTTATATTATATCCACCATGACAAGGTTGCGGCAACAGTACGTCTGCTTTCCTTTCTAGATATTATACCCTCCCAAGGATAAAGGTTACTGTCCCTTTCATTTAGCGTTAGACAACACAAGAGTTATTGTTTACAGGAGTTGTGAATATTACAAACTTCTTTCAATTATAGGTACAATTCTGACCCAAATCAGACATTCAACTCTTTTTATCGGTAAAAAGAGTTTCTCCGCTGGCGTTGCCATTGTGTTTCTATGGAGGAAGCCACCTTCGGCATTGCACAACGCCCGGCATGTTTGCCGAGCTCTGCCCTTAAAGTTTAAGTTATTTCATTTTTGACCACGTTTACTGCTTACCTTTTGACGCCTACCAATCAGATGACAGACATTAGTAGCACAGAAGGTATAGAAACAAATCTTAACATGCTTACAGCTGGAAGACTCTGCACCCAACTGCACAGTGAGCAAAGAGTAAAGTGTGTATCATGTGAATGAGATTTAGGCCCAATTCCAAACAGAGCCCTACCCACAGAGGGTCCACTAATGAAGTGCTGTTCCAAACCAATCAGTGGGGACTGGGAGTGGGTTATGGAGCCCTTATTTTCACGTGATATACAGTGTATCCGTGTCTAGTCTAAACGGTACTTCATATTTATAGGGACTGCTGTAAAGCCAACCAGGTAATACACATCAGATCTGGAAACAAAAAGAAACTCAAAAAAAAAGAAATGTCACTAAAGTTTTTTGGGGGTTTTATCATCATTATTATTGAATATTTGTTGTCAGATATGATGATGATTTGAAACCATTGTTTCATTCAGCGGAGAGTGAGACTACAGATGGAGTTCAATGCTTCACGGAGTAGGAGTGTGTGGGGGTCGGTTTGGAATTTGGCCTTTTTTTTTTACAGTTGGCTTGTCCCACTTCAGTTTGTTAAATTTGAAAATGATTGTCTTTCTGATATCAGAAAACTGTGCTTGTTTTCTTAGCTCTGGTTGGTTACATGCACAATTGTTTCTCTATGACTCAACCTCTTTTGCCCCACACATTTAACAGGAAACAGGATGTCCTATCTTTAATAGTTTGACGGATGATCAGTAAGCTACATAAGCTTTAAATTCACGTCAGCGAGATTGAATGCAGACTTAACGATGGCTAAGGCCCATAATGACTGCCCTGTAAATCTGAGTCTAAAAGCTGAAGCTACTACAAGGTTAAACAAGGCTCTTCTTCTAAAAGGCTTACTCGACAAAAAATCATTTTCCAACCATCAATAATTGATATGCTCAAAAAGGTCCCAAATTGAAGCTTTAAAGGAAAAGTGCTTTCGATTGTGTGGGCATTACATTTAGTTCAATTTACATTTCAGGCATTCAGCTTTTTCTTTAATTCACATAAACTTCAATAAAAATACTTTTTCATCCTTAAAGGTGGGGTAGGTAATTTTGGAGGAACCAGCTCGAGTGCGCTAGAATTTGAAAATACACAACCGGAAAAAATCTGCCACTTCCTTAGAGCCCCTCCTCCAACACACACGAACGCGCACATGACCAATGAGGGCAGGAGATAAGTTTGTGCACAGATGGAAGGCTGACAGGCAGGTAGACCATCCAGTTACTTTAGCCGGGCCGGCTCAGATGATTGGTCGTGCTTTTTACAGTGCTACGGCTTCCACAGATTAATTTTTTGTATGTATTTATTGTCAAAGCATTTAATATATTCATTGCTATCGGAATGTTAAGAGTATTCCATGGATTATAACAAAAAGTGTTTCTGAAATAAATGATATACCCCACCTTTAATATCTACATTTTAATTAACTTACATTCATTAATATATGTCCAAAATGGAGGAATAATTGAATTAGGCCTTAAAAAACAGAAAATAAAAGAGTGGTAGGAGCTACAGTGATAAGTGGTTTTATTCCATTTCAGTACAAATGAAGAAGGAAAGAGAGCATTAAGAGCTAATGACGTTTGGGAAATCAATGCTTCTTTAAAGGAATTACAGCCTGAGGAAACTGACACTTTTAATTATATTCTTAGCAAACATGAAGAGATTAACCCAGTCATTAAGAATACACCATTTTATATTACTTGTACCTATTGATCCCAGTACCCCTCATCATTATTTAAAGTAGCTTCTGGTCATATTTCCAAACTACAAGGGCTCAAAAGCTTTTAGAAAATCTTTTCCTTCACAATCATAACATTGCAAACACCCTTCTTCTCAAGAGAGCGCTGACACGAGGTGAAGGGACGCTGCAGCAGAATGAAGTCAAAGCTGAAAAGTACGACAGGATAATAGCTGACCCTGAAGGAGTTGAGCAAGTATTGGACATGTATTATTAATCAGTGTGTTTTGTGGAAACCTGTTCCAGCGTAGGAAAGGAGCAGAGTAATATGTTCCATACAGCACTATTCTTTATTATTCACAACTCCCCGAACAATGTGGCAGGGATTGTATTCATCATTATTTGATGCAAAGGAAAAAAGGAAAATCCTGGCCTGGATTTGATTGTATGCGAGGACAGTGATGGATTTCAGCTGCCGGGCTTAGTTGTTAACTTCTGTGGGAAAAAACGGCTTTATGTTTGTGTTTACAAAAAGTACCATGCCTTTTCTTAAAGAGGACATTTCACATCTGATTTGTATTTAGTGTCCCTATTGTGATATGTTGAAATGCTTTAATGTTCAAAAAGTGCTTTATTTGCCTCATACTGCCTGCGCTTCAGGTTGGATGGCCGGCTCTGTTGTGATTGGTCAACTGCTTAGAAATGTCCCGCCCCTTAGCCTATCACGTACAGTGTGTTGGTGCGCTAGCCAATAGAAGTGCGGGTTTTTACGCAGTGATGTCACTAAGTTACGGAAGTTAACAATGGAGTCAGGGGGGGGGGGAGTGTGTGGGAGAGAAACTCCCTCTGGAGGGAACTTTGGGATTTTAATCTTTGCAGACCATTTACATACACAAAAACCTAAATAACACACTACAGGAAATGGAAAAACCCCAAAAGAATAATAGGGCCTCTTTAATACCATGCTTCCCACAAAGAAAGCAGGAACCAACAGAAAGGAATCTTGTTGCTTTGACAAATTCTGACGCAGAAATCCCTCTTCCATCTCTGAGCTATCAAGGCTATTTGCTGTTAACGCCATTTCCCCAATTGCAGCCCCACCAAAGTGGCGGCAGTTATTTCAAGTGTCTCCTGATTGTAGTTTACCAAACAGCACAGCTTTGCACCATTACATTCCTAAACGTTTCATGTCATACTTAAATGAGTCATTCAGCTAAAAGGGGGATTACGTAATCCATTTTCCAAACAAGTGAAGATGGCACTATGCAAAACATTTTGGATCTTCAGTCTAGAGGGAGATTAAGTTCCAGGCTACAGAAGGTGTAATTGTAAAGTCATTATTAAACAACAAACCTCTTCAGAAACAATTGGCCATTTTCTATATAGGAGTTTGTAAAAGTCGTTTTCCTTTAGCATTCTGCTGTTCAGACCACCGAGCAAACACCAAGGTCGCAGCAGTCTTATTCCAGAACAATAACAAAGAAGAGGCCAAAGTTGTCGAGATGATAATAGTGTTCAGCTGTGTCTCCAGCAGAGCACATTTATCACCAAGAACAATGGATAAGAGTTCGTTTTGTTTTGTTGAGATTGCATGTGGTCATGAGAATTTGAGCCTCGAAACATTACTACTGTCAGATTAATTAAACAAGGCGGGTCATTAAACATTCATTAAAGCAGATTCAGTAATGCAGTCATTAATCAACGGATCAAAGTATATCCAGTCAGGTACATTGTGTCAGAGAATAATTCTCCCTTACTCCTAAGATATTTAACTTTTCTGCCTGTTGACGTTTTATGACCAACCCTGACTCTGTTATCTCAGTTTATGACTGGTCAACTCTCAGTCACAGAGCCTAAGAGTCAGGCAAGTGATTCAGTGTCTCCAGATGTTGGGATATCTCCAGTGATCCCAGCTGTTTAGT